AGCCCCCTTCCCGATGTTGGACGTGGGTTCCACGGATTTTGCCTTGCGTTCCTGTTTGTTGCACAATGGCCGGAGATGGCGACGTGTCACTATAGTCCAAATCGCCACCCAACAGGACGCGTCGCTACAAACAATTACGAGCATGAAGTGTGAGAAACACATCGTACGAAAAACGCATAATCGTCTTACCTGTCGGCTTCGTCATCGGCAGCGACGTGTGGACTTGTTGTCCGCGCAGATTTGTCAGCTCTTAAGCTCTTCGATGCTGCGCGCTTACGCTTACCTTTTGCTTTGGTCGTGCCAGTCGCCTTGGCCGGTCTTTTCTTCTTCGCCGCCTTCTTCGGTGTTGTTATCTCTGCCGCTGGCGCCATGTCAAACTCAGCGTCGTCATTTCCTTGGTCTTTTCCCGTTTCCACGTAGTCTTCATCTCCGCTATCACTCCCATCCTCATCAGCAGAAGCAGCATCGGCAGCAAGCTCTTCTGCATACAATGCTGCGACAGGCGCCTTCCCTTTCAATCGCGGCGCTCTTGCCAGCAAATTGTAATGCCCCACTAGTGCGCCCTTCTTCTGGTACGTAGCTGGAGCAGGAGGCTTGCGTGAAGCCACTGTCATCCTAGGCCGCCTTCCTGTCGTTGCTGACGTAGGAGCTGAAGCAAGCGGTTCACCCGCAACGTCGTCGCCAAAGTCAGCATCGCGGTCACGCGTACCGTCGACATACGCACGGTGCTCTTCAAGCAGCCGGACGCGTTCTGCGCCTTCCTTCCCATCGAGACGACGCAGGAACGCCTCCGCTTCAGCGCGCGTGACGCGGCGGGGAGGCATCTTGGTCCCGCGTTTCGTTTTGGAGAATGAATGGATGGCTCAGAGGCTTCTCGTTTGAAGCACCGTCTTTACGACAGCGTAAGGACCTTTCTCTTTACAGTTAGGACCCCAAGCCCTGTACACCGGGGACTAAACGGACTAAACGCCCATTCTATGACGATCCCCACATGCTTGATTACTAAGCATGTGGAAAAAACCACATGCTTCCTTATCAAGCCTTAGTAACGGAAGGGTTAATCTCGAAAAAGTAAGTCACGAAAGGATATTTTATAGGTTGTAGTACAAGCCCGTAATTAAGTAAATAATTCCGGATAGCGACATTTTTTTTGCGGGGCCCCGGGGTCCCGCCAACTCTTTCAACAGATTCTGTGCCAGAATTACAGATGGAAAGTGCAATTCTAGCCGCTTTACTGTAAATCATCGTGGACATCGTGGATCACGGTTTCATGAACTCGCATTATTGTAAATACACCACCTGCTTCGTATACCTGTAAATTTAATCTCGTTTTGCCAAAATTACAGTATGTATCACAGACTATCCTTGTTGTCGCCGCTTGATACCTACTCGTAGCTCGTTTAGACCAATAAAAAAAATTCTGAGGGAAAGAATGGGCGCATCGCGCGGAACCCGCAGCTAGCCGAAAAACTACTAGGAACCTCAGGTAGGATTATTTAAGCTTATACATTCAGAGAACCCGTACTAACCAACTGTTAATTGACTGGATTCGATGACATCTCCCGATGTAGATCAGCAGACTCAAGGCATCATTCTTCATTTCGCTCGCTCAGACGCAAATCATCCAAACCCACAAGTATATATATGCAAGCCATGCGCCTTGTATTCTTCGTGTTACTCATAGCTTTGGCATCACACCCTTCATTTGGAGATGAGGCATTTTCGATCACAGCAGACTCCGCAACAAGCCCGAAGACTTCGCCACCAGGAAGCACGGCCTCACTAAGTCTCTCAGGTCGCCCACCGCAGCCTAGCTACCAACCCACGATCATGGAACGCTTCAGAGGCGGTAGAACAAGAGCGACGATGAAAATAGAGGTCCGATGAAAATGCCGACGCCATCGCTGAACATGTCATTAAAGTATGCTGGATACAGGGTTTTGGCACATGTTACGCAATGGCGAAACCCCTCGAATACTACAGAAAAATGACACAGGCTCAACTCCACCTGAAAGAAAAAAATACGACTCTACCGTTTTCTTTGGGGGGGGCCAAAGCCAAGAGAGATGTGTGTCCGCAGACCATGGCTACGGAGATCCACCTAAACGTTTTGGTCTTGGATCCCAAGAAACTGCCTAACTCTACAGAAATTCGATATTCTT